CGTAAACATTTTACATGTCACCACCGGAATAGTAAGGCAGAGGGTGTGTAGGAGTTTTCCTCCGCGAACGCAGCATCGTGGAAGTTGACTGTAAAGTTCTGTAATAGTGATGTTAAAAAGAATGGAGCTCGTTGAAGCACTTGTCGTGGAAATAGCGATAGATTACTAACAGGTTTGCCACGTCGCGCCTGCGCAAAAGGTGTTGCAGAGTTGGAAAATATTTCATCGCTTACAAGGCCGCGTAAACAACTTTGAACTTTGTTAAGGCAGGAAAGTGAGGATTGGGCCCCTCCAGAAAGGTACTTATCGCAAATTTCTAACATCGCATAATTTTTGTTAAATGTGTCCTTCTTTTTAGCTAAACTGTTTGTATAGATATCGATGGCAAAAGATATGTGGCCCTTACAAGATACAAAGCCAGAAAGAGATTTCAAAGATCGGACATCCAAATTAGGGCGAAGGGTGGTTCGAGTGAAATCATCTGATCAATGGGCCATAAAATGCAAATGATTCTCTTCTCTCCTCAACCACGCATAAAAAATGTGGATTGTGTAAACTGCTCTGTTCCGAGTTTATCGGGTAAAGAGAGTCAAGCTTGTCGTTCCATGTCAATCATTAAAACAGTGTCGTTATTTTATGGCCGACATCTTGGGTGGCGGTATATTTTTTATTGCTTTTCTTTTCTTCTTTATTTTGTAGGGAATAATTTCTTTTCATAAATCAATTTTATATATATAGCTAGATACACGGCCTACTCTCTTCCTATATCTCCCTCTTTGGCTCGTTTGTATGTGTGTATGTATGAATAGTCCTTTCAATTTCTTTTGTATTTGTATGCACACACACACACATGCATAAATATATATATATATATATATATATATATATATATATATATATATATAGATAGATAGATAGATAGATAGATAGATAGATATACATATATTCATATATAGAGATTTATTTTCATATATATATATATTTATTATATTATATATATATATATATATATATATATATATATATATATAGAGAGAGAGAGAGGAGAAAAAAGGGCAGAGATAGATACATATAGATAGAAACAGATTGAGATGGATTTTTTAATAAAAAATATCAACACTAGCATCTATCTATCTATCTATCTATCTATCTATATATATATATATATATATATATATTATAAGAAAATACAATGCTATTTATAATCCGAGGTTCTTAGCAAATTATTTTTATATTTAATAAAACAGTGCTCGATACAAACAATAAACTTAATATTATAATTAGGTCAATTGTTATAATCAAATTTATAATTTTATTTTCAGTTTTGAAACAGAAATGTCTGTGTCGCGATGGAATCCTATTTGTAAAAAGAAAATAATTATAATATGCATACATACATACATACATATATATATATATATATATATATATATATATATATATATATATATATATATATATGATTCTCTCTCTCTCTCTATGTTTACACACAGATATATATATATATAAAATATATATATATATATATGTGTGTGTGTGTGTGTCATGCATATTTATTTTTATTTAAATATGTGCATGAAATACTTTTCACTTTATTCTTGTTACCCTTATTTCTCAATTAACTTTTTCTTTTCATTGTTAGGTTTCAAACTATTTCGACATTATATTTACCAGAATATTACTATATAGTTAAGTTATGAAGAACTTGGTAAACTGTATGGGTAATTCCAAGGAGGATGAAACCTTGAGAGCCATTTTTTCGTTTCATTTCGTTGTTGGAAGTATTACCTGAGGATCCGAGTCCTTTAAAAGGATTTTAAACAAATAAATTATTCTAATGGTACATTAAAATGGTCTGTTTTTCATTAAATAATTATATATATATTTATATATATATATATATATATATATATATTATTTTGTTGTGCAGTACTTAGTGGAAATAGCTCAATATCAATGATATAGTTAAATATTCATTTGTAGATATGGGTTTGTGACCCTGGTTTCACTTTTTTTGCGATCTTCAAACGAATTTGTCTGATGATCGCAAAAGGCTTACAACGCAAGGGCACAAACTGATATCCATACAACTGAATAACTGAATATATATATATATATATATATATATATATATAGATAGATAGATAGATAGATAGATAGATAGATAGATAGATAGATAGATATAGATAGATAGATAGATAGATAGATATTGATATTGAATGAGATTTAGGGAAAATCTCTGTGCAAAAAAGTGACTCACTTATTTCCTGCAACTAGTAATCAATAGAAACATAACTGAACAGCTTTAAATAAAGAATAATAGAGGTATAATTTATTTATAATAGGTAATATAGTCCGAAATATTTAATAATCTATGGGCCCTCCTTTATTTTGAATAAACTTTTCAACCCTTTTTGGCATTGACTTGATTAGGTTCTGGCAAAACTCATCTCCAAGCATTGAATTGCTTTCGGATATGAAATTCACAATCAAATCCTATTTGTTGCTCAACTGCTTTCTCGAGAGCCTGTACTTTATAATGCTCCATAAGTTTTCTATGGGGTTGAGGTCAGGAGATTGGAGCGGCCAGGTCATAACACTCACCTACTTCTCATCAAAGTATTCCTTCATCAATTTTGATTTGTGACAGGGAGCATTATCCTGCATAAAAATGAGCTTGGTGGGGTCGATTTGCACCCTTTCAGCAGAAGGGAGCAGACTAGACTATAAAATTCTCTTGTACTGCTCGCTCCTGAGGGTGTTTTCAATAGGTTTTAAGAAACCAGTTTCATGAAAAGGACAGCATCCACAGTACATTATACTGAACGGATGCTTGACATTACTTACTGCTAAATTCAAAGAGCTTTCGAAGCTTCTTCTTCGGATTTTAGATCGCTTATCCTTTGAATTTAGCTCAACTTTTGTTTCATCGGAGAAGAGAACATTCTTCCAGTCTTCTACGGCGATATTTTTGTAATAGTGAGCCCATTCAAGTCTCTTGGCTTAGTTGGCTTTGCTTATTAACGGCTTAAACCTTCGTGTACAAGATTTGTAGCCTTGTTCTAACAGCCACCGATGGACTGTTGAAGAGGCAAGACTAACACCTTGCTCTTCGCTTAGACTGGCTGCAATTTCTTGGCTAGTTATAGTGCTATTTTTCGCAACTTCTCTCTTGATTACCCTGCCAGTTCTATCATCAATCTTTTTCTTTCATCCCCTTCTTTCCTTCCTTGGAGCAGGAGTGTCATTATTATGTGCCCTAACCACTCGGGAGACAGTTGATTGCGAGGTTATAGCAAATTCTATAAAAAAGAATTGCCTGCTTTTGTGAGGGCAATAATAGATAAAATTGTAGATGCTTTATAAAATTCTGAGTGGCTATTTCAAGCTGTTTTTATACTGTATGAGGCCTTCTGGAATATTCTGGAATACTCTAGATTTAATTTAAGCTGTTCTAGAATTTCTAGAAT